GCTAAGCTGAGCTCACCTACAGCCTCACAACTCCACTGCAACCAGTAAGCCTGAGGCCCATCAAAGATGTGACAGGTCTGGGCTTTCCCCAGCCGGGACTGTGTGCGTGCGTGCGTGCAGTGGCTGGAGTTTATGGCACCACCTTTCACCAGGGGGATCCTCAGTCCTGGCATTTCCTCAGGCCACTGCACCACCAGCAGTCCCACCAGGCCTTCCAATCCTGGCAGAGTGCAGTTTTAGTGGCCATGCCAGGACCTGGGGCCGCCTCCTTCCCCACAGCCCCAGTCCATACCTCCAATTTCATCGTGGCATAGAAGCTCAGCAGGAACATGTTCTTCCCCTGCTGACTGGTGATGCAGTGAGTGTCCCCTCCAGCTCTGAGAGCAGGGCATTAAATGTTTTTAAAAAATTTTAAAAGGAAATAGGTACAGATGGAGTGAGGATGGTGGCATTCACTTCATTTGCACCTGCAGCTAGGAGAAGCCCAGCAGCAGGAAGTTCACCTTGAAGAACACCAGCTGCTCCACCAAACCAGGATCCAAGCAGGTGCAGTGGGATGTCACTACATCCCCAGCCATGCTGAACACCCTCTCACTCAGAACACTGGTCAGTGGACAGGACAGGTGTTACCAGGCAACCATGGCTAGATCCAGCCACATCTGGCTGCAGGTTGCCCAGTAGGCCAAGTGGTCGCACAGAAGCACCTCCACATCCTCAGAGAGCTAGGCAGCCAGCAAAGCCTGAGTGCTACCTGCCTGATGGTGGGGTCTGGTGCCTCTGGACCCCACCATGGAAGCCATGCCCTTGGCCCACATTGGCAGCACCTGTGGTGGAGGAGACTGGCTGGTGGATGGTGTGCCAGCATGGGACAGTGGATCCCCCTCTTCCACGTCCCCCTGCCTCTGCTGTTCTGCCTCCCTGACTCTCTTCACCAGCACCTTCATCCATTGATTCAGGCTTTGGCTGCTGCATACGCTGCCCTTCACCATCAGGTCACACATGGCAGCCAGTATGTGGACCGTACTGGGCCGCAAGGGGTCAAACTGTTTCCTGATGCCCCCCCTT